AAACATTCAGAAGGAAAGGGGCGTAATGTCTGTGACCCATTTTCAAATGGTTTAGAAAAGCAATTACACACATACGTATACACGAGAGGAGAGCAAGCTCACTTTGAGTACATGAGAAAATGTTAACTGCTGCAACAGGTGGTGTATGGGAATTCTTTATACTCCTACAACTTTTCTGTAAGTACAACACTGTTCCAAAACAATTGTTTTTTTTTAAAGAAAAATTCAGAAAAAAGGAGCAGTAGTGTATCTGAGGCAGGCCTGGCAGAAACAGTTGGAGCTGTGTGTGGTGGTGCACACCTATAATTCTAGCATTTGGGAGGCTGGGGCAGGAGGATTGCCATGAGTTCAAGGCCAGCCTGCATTACATAGTGAGACCCTGTCTCAAAAAAAAAAAAAAAAAAGAAAAGAAAAAGGAAATTGAGTTGGTATTTGAGGAGGGGGCTTAGGAGACCCTCACTAAAGGGTCTTTCCTCTTCTCTCCCTGGTAGCAATAGAGCTGAGACAGGAAGCCTGCTTGGCTGCCTTCGACTCATCCCTTGATCCTTTACTTCCCCTTTCTGAGCCCCAGTTTCTTTACCTGTGAGACTGGAATAAAGATGTCTACCCCTTCATTGTCATGCTAGTTTCCCCAAAGCAGACTATGCTTTCAGAAGTTGCAGGGGGAAGAAAGATAAACCAGAAATACAAATGGTTGAGTTCAGCAAACAGAGATGGGGGTTGTGAAGGGTGAGAGGTAAGACTTGCCTGTCTCGGCTGAAATCTCCAATAGTGTGAACTCAGGGCCCAGGGAAAGGGGCTCCTGGGTCTCAGTATCCTGAAGGCACGCTGGAGCCCTCTCCTGTCCCGGCGGGTGGCCAGCCCCGCTATACCCATCCGGCGAGCCTCCTGTCAGGAATGGGCTGGAGGGCTGGCTGGAGCTGGGGGTGCATCTGCTTCTCCACACCACCACCCGCATCTCTCACCTGGATGGCAGCCTCCCCCTCCTGCCTGGGGCCCAACACCTGCCCTGAACCCTGCCCCAAGCTCCTCAGGCTCCCCATGGGATCGCCCACGACTCCAATGTGACTGTGCCCACGTCCCCGTGGAAGGTTCAGGCTTCTGAGCCGGGCAGTGACAAGCCCAGCCTGGGCATTCTGCTGACAGCACAGGCTGCAGACCAACAGGAAAAGCGAAGGGCAGGCAGACTGGGAAGAAGCCCCGAGGCCTGGGGTGCTGGAAGAGGCTGCGGAACTCTGTAGTCAGATACCCTGAGCTCCAGATCCCTGTTGCCCCAGCGTTCCCCAGACTTCTAGTTTCCAACCCGGAGAGAGCCCTTCTCCAACAGCATCTCCATGTGCCAAGAAAGGGCTTGTGGGCACTGCCACCTTCATTAGGAACTGGGACGAATCAATCCAGCTGAGCTGCCCAAGCACCCAAACGGCTGGGATGTGAGGACTTCCTCTGGCTCCCAGGCCAGCTGAAGCAGCCCTTTCTCCTCCTGATTGCCCACTCCCTAGTCCTGGGCAGTAATTAATGGAAAACTAGGAAAACTGCAGAGCCAGCTCCCTAGAGCTCCAGATCTAGTGCCCTGGAGGGTCCTAGGCAGGAAGGTAGACTCAGCAGTCAAGCAGACCACACCTGGAGCTTCCCTGAGCCTCAGGCAGCCAGGCTTTCTTTGCTCATGACAGGAACACAGGTCCAGGTTTATGCACTCACATCAGCCTGTGTGTACACACCTCCCATCATATCTGACTGTTAACAAGAGCAGTTAATATCATTATTCACTATATACAGGGAGGTCTGTTTAATCCTCACAGCAAGGCAGATTTTCACTATCCCTGTTTTATAGAAGAGGAAACCGATGCAGGGGGAGGTTAAGGGGCATACTGAAGGTCACAGGTAGGACTGGACTTGAACCTAGGTCACAAGAATCTAGGGTCCTGGCCCTTAACCTTGACCCTAATACCACCTCCTTGAATAGGGGCTCAGCAAATGTGTAAAGAGCTGCATTACGTGAGTACAAACGTGAGAGAGAGAAAGAGAGAGACCCCCAGGCTCGCCTCCCCCATCCCCCGGACCCACATCAGCATTTCCTGGATTGGCTTATGTGTCCACCTGAGAATAAGTTAGAAAAAAATAAGATCTGACCTCTGCTATTCCTCCGCTTACAGTAAGGGACCCAAAGATGAGGACTAGTGAGATCATCTTGAGATACTTCCTGCAGAGTTCTTCCGTTGCTGGTCACCCATCCTGCACCCTAGGGTCTGGGCTTCTCCATGCCTGTAGCCAAGACCTCCCTCCCAGTCTGGATTTGGGGACAGGGAGGAGAGAGTGCTAGGGCTGGCTTCCATCATGTCTCTGGCCCAAGTGTTTCCCACTTCCTGCGGTCAGGCCCTGTCACTCCAAGAGCTTTGCAAGAGTGTCCCCAAGAGACACTTCCTGGAATTTCTGCTCAAACAGCACTTGCTGTAAAATATGTCAAAGCATTTTGGCTTCACTTTTCAACTCAGAATATGCCAATGTTCTCTGTGGAAGTGGAAGTGTTTCTGTTGATGTGGTAAGAAGGTAAAATAAGACATTCTTCACCAAGTTACACTGTCTCAAAGTCAAGCACTTGGCTTGGGGACAGGGACTCATCTTGGGATCACCAAAGCCTAGCACAAAGAATGGCAGAAAAACAAGCAGGGTCAAGGTTTGCTGAATGACTGAATGAGAGATTATATGAAGGGCCTAGAACCAGAAATGGTATATGGTCAGTAGTACTGATTCTGAATGGATCCCAGAGGTTCTACTTCTGACAGATGTTCTCAGTCTGTTCCTCTTTCCCTGTATTCAATGACCTGGCCTTGTCCCAAGTCTCTGCCCATAGAACAACTAGTATTCTCCTAGCTGTCTTCTCTGCTTCTATACTTGCCCTTCAGCCCATTCTCCCATGGCTACCAAAGCTATCTTTGCAAAGGGAAAGTTGGATTGTGTCATCCCCTGCCTAAAACCTTCCAGCAGTTTTCCATTGTTCTTGGCCATGGCATTCAAAGTCCTGCATAGCGTGGGCCCTGCAGGCCATCCCTGACTCTTCTGAGGCTGCTCTTCAGCCACACTGGCCTCCTTTTGGTTGCTGGATGAGGCAACTCTCTCTCATCTCAATGTCTCAGATTGCAGTTGCCTCTGTCTGCTGTGCTTTTCTCTGGCTCCAGAGGGCTCAGCTCAAATGTGTTAGCTCCCCACAGGGGCCTTCTCTGACCCCCCCTAGCTAAAACAGCCTGTCCCTTCTTATTCCCTTATCTTCCCTACCTTATTTTATCTTAGTTTCCTTTACTCTATATAGTGCATCAAACATGAAGCAGCTGTGAACCACCAGGGAAGCCCAGTCCTTCTTGCATGCTTTCAGAGCTCTTGCCAAGCCTTGTGGGCTTTTCGGAGACCTGCTAGTCTTCCCCACCAGATGTCAGGAGGGCCAGGGCCACGTGTCTTGCTCACTGTGTTCACTTCCCAGGCATGGTATTGAACAAAAAATGGATGGTAGGCAGGTAGGCAAGGGAGAAATGCAGACCACCTGGCTCTTGACTCCTGATATGATCTCACTGCCCTCAACCTTTCTTTCTTCAAAGAAATCTTGCTGTTGGCCCCTTAGGAGAGCCTTCTGCCCCCAAGCACTGCTGCAGCAAGTCCTGCCTCACCTTGCATCAGCCTCTGCAGTAGACTGAATGTTTGAGTCCCTCAGTCTCTAAATTCCTATGTTGCAACCCTGTTGCCAATATGATGGTATGAGGAAGTGGGGCCTTGGAAGGTGATTAGTTCATGAAGGTGGAGCCCTTGTGAATGGCATTAGTGCCCATCTTATAAGGACTGTGAGAAATAAATGATTGTTGTTTAAGCCACCCAGTCTCTAAAGTATGCTGTCACAGAATCCAGAATTGACTAAGACACCTGCTGACTATGACCATGCTGGCAAAGGCAAGTAACATAGCAGAGGGGTAAATACCATCTGTTTACCAAAGGGAGCCCTTGCCCACCACCTGAGCATCCCTTTCTGTTGTTACTTAGGCTCCATGTCCAGCAGAACTCCAGCATCATCCAGCCACAGGGTGAGCCAAGGAGTCCCTGCCTGCCTCGTGACCCCTCATGGAGCTGACAGCTGCCCAACAGTCTGCCTGGCACACATGTTCTCGCTTTCATTTAGTCCAGCTGCCTCTCCTTCCCCTCCTTGCTGGGTGACTTTGGCCATTCTTACTCCTGCTGGGACTTTCATCTTCCTGCCTCTAACACACAACACGGGCTGAACACACAGATCCCTGGTCGAAGCCCACAGGCCGGACTTTACCACCTCAATGCAACGATCCTGTGGTCCCTTCTCCTGCTGACCCAAGAGGCCCTTGAGGCTCTGCATTGCCTGTTTCATGAAGGCAGCCCGAAAAGCTGGTAGCCCCTGCAGATCAGAGCTGCGGAACTGATGCGCTAGGGCACCCTGAAACCTGACTCCAAGGCAGCCGCAAATCCAAGGCCAAAAAAAGTACAAGGTTCTTTGCTGAAGGTTTCTCCTCTCACAGCCTTGGCTTGGAGCCCTGCACTCAATTCCCACCCAGTCCCCTAGGGACCACAGTGCAAAGGTGATCAGTGCCTGGCTCCCTACCCCTTCTGACACCCCCAAGTCTTCTTACTTCCAGGACTACTGAGAATCCCCAAAACGCCAAGGTCATCATGAAGACAGGCTGAGACTGGTGGTGGGAGGAGCTGGAAGCTCTGCCTCAAATAGATTTGGGTACAAAGGCTTTTTCCACAAGCCATGGGGAATAGTTCCATGGCTACCCCAAATGTAACATAGGCCCTGGGACCCCCTCCCTTTTCAACAGCTGTCCCCTTAACTAGGGAAGTTTTCCAACCCCAGCTGAGGGCCTGAGAAGGGTCTGGTCATTCCTGGCGTCCAGCTGGATCCGGAGCCTGGTGCAAGGATGTGCTTCTGGTCTGGGGACGCATCCTTCTCCCTCACCCCAACCGACCCTCACTCCCAGAGCACTTACAGGCCTTGGAGGCCGGGGAGGATCTCGTCCTGGGGTCCCACCTCCGTCCGGACGGCGTCCCCAACCAGGAGGGGTGGCATGATCTGGGCAGCTGGTCCAGGCCAAGGGTTACGGATCGTGGAGGGGAAGGGGATGGAGCAGTTAAGAACCTACTCCAAGTAACCATCGAAGACATCGAGCTCTGAATCGGCATCATAGAGGCCAGAGCCGGGGTCAGAGAGCACGCCAAGGTCCACAAGCGCCTGGTCCAAGTCCTCAGGCAGGAAGACGAGGCCCACATTGAGGACGATGTATTCCATGAGGAAGGCGTAGTACAGGATCAGCACATTGACGAAGAACAGGCCCACGTAGAACATAGAGGGCAGCAGCGGAGGCTGCACGTAGGAGACCAGGGTGCCCAGAGAGTCCAGGTGGGCTGCGACCCGGGCGCCGGGCATGCAGGGGGCGGCGAGGGCGGCGGCAGCCCGGCGATCCCAGCGACCTCAGCCGCTGCGGCGCCAGGGCGGCCGGCGACAGGGCAGCTCAGCCATCCAGGGCCACCCCGGGGCTCGACCGAGGCGGCGCTGGTGGCCAGGTAGCCTCCAAGGATGTACGGTGGCCTCAGCACCCCTAGAAGTGCGCGTACGGCCCTCCTGACCCACTGGGGGGCCAGGCGGGACCCTGGAAGTGGCCAGGCGCTGCCCGGCTTCTTCGCTGCGCGACGCTTCCTCTCACTGGCCCTCGCGGCGCCAGAGGGTCCCCCACCGAAGCTCAGCGTCGAGGGCCAGTCCAGGCTGCTGCCACTCCCGCCTGCCCCGACTGTTCCCCGAGGTCCCTGGGCATCCCCGCAGGCCCAGCATCCAAGGCTGCGGGCGCCGCAACGCTCCCCTGGTCTTGATCCTAGCACCACCTCCCGAGCGGCCCAGCGCTCATTGGCCCGCCGCCTCTTGCCCACGTTCATTGGCCGGCTCAACGCCCGCGCCTATTGGTCTGAGTGCTCAGGAGGACGGGTAGTCCTTCGCTCCGCCTTTCCACGCGCTAGCTTCAGAGTTGTTCTCTTGGATGCTGTCTGCACTCCGGTCTGTGGCGGGCTTCGCTCTGCGGGTCCAGAGAGCAGGAGGAGGGAAAAGAAATTGAACCTAATTCCATTTTAGAAGTATCGCAAGGCCACGAAAGCTGGAGGAAACCGCGGGCTTTCTCTGCACCTTGCTGGGCTATTTGGGTATCGCGCCACGTCTCTTTGGGACTCAGTTTCCCCAGTTTAGGTGGTGGTGTAGGGAGGGTCGGCTGGCAGTTCCACTGAAAACCTTGATCATTCCTACAGCGCTGGTGATTTTGTTTTTCCATGATGGGGTGAGAAATATCAGTCAGTGCTTCCTTCATGTCCCCAAATTCTGCTGCTGGTAGGTTCGCTCATGGAAGGTGGCGAAGGCGGGATAGACACTATAGGATTTGGGAACATTTGGATGAAGAAAGTCCAAGACAGGTCAAATTCCTAGCCAGTAAGGTTGCTTGTTTCTTTTTGCTTTGTAAACTGTATTTAAAAGCAAGAGTAATGCACATGGTAGCAGTCGAAAAAGTACACAACAAAGTGAGTCTCTCATCCATGAATTTCCCTGCTTGCAGGCAACCATGGTAGATCCTTCAGAAGACTGACCTAGAGTGTCTTTCAAAGCAATTCAAAGAATCTTTAAGGATATACTGAGCTGGGATCTTTACATGCATTGCTTACTTGCAGCCAGACAAGGAAGAGTAGTATGTTGCTCTTTTTTTTACAGAGGAGGAAACAGCCCTGGAGAAATGGAGGGACCCTGAAAGCTGCTGGGCCTGGGGATGTTTCTTTGGAAACATTTGCTCTTTTTCTTCCATGACTTTCTCTTGCCCTCTTTAGATAAATTCCTGAGTGAACCGTTAACCCTGCACTGGTCTCCATTTTTCCAATTCCTGACTGGAAGACAAACCATTCACTGTGTCAATATTTACTGAACACATACTATGTGCGAAACCTCTGCTAGGCATAGGAGAGAACAACGGCCCCAAGCCCAATTCTTTTCTGAGCGTAGGTAATGGGACACCATAAACATAGTTTATATAACTATTATTATTATTATTAACTCATAGTTTAAATAACTATGAGTAGAAATGTATGAATAAATGGATAGTGAATACAGAAGTCTTGGCTCCACCCAGCCTCCCACTTCCAAGCCAGGGGGAAATTTAGAAAACATAGGAAACTGGGTGTTTC